GCATAAATATGAGGGGCACAGGGGGAGGGTTACAGGGTAGGGAGGGGAGGAGACTGGGTTAGGGTTGGACAAATGTACACATAACGTTGAATGTAAAACAAGCTCTTAAAAAAATTAAAGAAAAGAAGAAGGTAAAGAAACTTGAACTGCACATGCCTTTGTGAGATAGAGCACACCCCAGCTTGAGTTCCCTGGGAGAGCAGAGTTATTTCTGCCAGTAGACTCCAATGGGGTATCATGGATGGGACTCAGGCCCTGGGCTCTGAAAGGGAGTTTGGGAGCTCCAGACTTGGATGACAAACTCTACCACCTTTGCATTTTGGCTTAAGCTCTGTTATGGAATGAAATGTGTCTCCCCAAAATATGTAGTGGAAGCCTAACCCCTATACCAGTGGACATAATCTTGCTAGAGCATGGGGTCTTTTTTGTTATGCTAATGAGGCCACATCAGTGTACCAAAAACCAAAATAAACTCACTGCCATCCAGTCAATTCTCACTCATAGAGATCCCCATTGGTTTCCAAGGCTGTAAGTCTTTATGGATGCACACTGTCTCATCATTCTTTTGCAGAGCAGCTGGTGGGTTTGAACCACCAACTTTTTGGTTAGCGGCCAAATGCCTTAACCACTACACCACCAGAGCTCCTTATTAGTGTATTACTATATTAACATTAGTGTAGGGTGTATCCAAAACCTAATCACTTCTGAGTTATAAGGAGCAGCACAGACACAGAGACAAGGAAGCACAGAATGAGGAAGATAGATGCCACTTGAAGTTCATCTGGGAATCGAGGAACGCCAAGACTACAGAAGCCGGGACAAGGCTCTTCCCCAGAGCTGGGAGAGAGAGAGAGAGAGAGAGAGAGAGAAAGTGCCTCTACTATAGCTGGTGCTTCCAGCCTCCTAAACTGTGCAAAATAAATTTCTGTCCTTTAGAGTCACTCACCTATGGTATTTCTGTTACAGCAGCGTAGTAAACTAAGACAGGCTGGTATCACATAGGGCTTCAGGTGCAAGGTCAAGGAAAGATTGGACTCTGGAGGCACCTCCCTTGAAGTTTTTGGGGACAGCAAAGTCCTTGTCAAGGTGGTACAGTCAATAGAGCTAATTCTTCTTGCTGCTTTTCACCACATCCTCATCTGTACCCCATGAATATATGTCAAAGCCTGCTTACTTGACCCAGCCTGCCCACCAGGCCACCATCCACGTGGCTCACTGCCTCCCTATACGGGGCATGTAGGGCATGGCAATATTTCAAGAGCACTGAGCTCATTGCTGTGGAAAATGAAAAATTGTCTCTATTTTTTATTATTGCTGAAATCCAGTTTTTAGTGGATGTGCTACTAAAGAACTGCATATAAATTAAATCTGCCGAAAAATAAAATGTCTTGGAGCTAGAGGCCTAGGTCCAAACCATACACCTAGCCTCAGTTTCCTCATATAAAATGGGAATGATATAGGAAATACTAATAGTATCCTCCACACGGGATTGTTGAGAGAATGTATTGTGGATTGAATTGTGTCCCTCAAAAAGATATGCTCAAGCCCTTACCCCTGGAAACAGGGTCTTTGCAGATGTAATCAAGTTAAGATAAGGTCATAAGGGATGAGGGTGGGCCCTACTCCAATGACTAGTGTGGTAGTTAAGTTTGTGTGTCAACTTGGCTGGGCCTGGTTGAGTGGCTGAGCATCTGGACGTAGTTATTCCCCATGGTGATATAGGTAATTAACTCCATGGTGGAATCTATTGGAGCAGCTGCGTAGCTGCTTTAGGGATATGGTCTACTTCCTGTATATAAGGAGCAACCTTGGGGAATGGTCTCTAGCTTATGGCACGCTTGGACCCTGCATGTAGCCATGTTGTTGTTCAGCAGCCTGCCATGCTCTGCTGATTTTGAGACTTTCAGTGGACTTGAATTAATGGCCTGCCGTGTGGTTTGGTAACATCCCGACTGTGCCTTTTTACTTGTCAACCTTGGCCTTGTCCGTCTCAGCAGCTAGCAGCTGTCTGAGTGGAGAAAAGCCTCTAGCTCCAGTGGGCCGGGAGCAGGAGGCAGAGCTGAAGCCCAAGGTTGAGGGGCTTTCACTCAGCCCCTAGAGCCTGGCACTTTGAACTCAGACTTAAAGCCTCCAAACCGTAAGAGAATAAACTCCTGTTTGTTAAAGCCATCGCATTTGCGGTATACTCCTGTCAGAGTGGCACTGAGTAACCAAAACAACTAGTGTTGTCTTGATAAGGAGAGGAAAGTCTGGACACACAGACACACACAGAGAACACCATGTGACAACAGAGGCAGAGATCAGAGTAATGCATTACAACGCAAGTACCCCAAGGATTGTCGGCAACTGCCAGAAGCCAGGAAGAGGCAAGAAGGATCCTCCACTAGAGCCTTAGGAGACAGCATGGCTCTGCTGATACCTTGACTTCAGATTTCTAGTCTCCCAATTTATGAGAAAATAAATTTCTGTTGTTGTAAGCCACCCAGATTGCAGTAGTTTGTTACAGCAGCCCTAGGAAACTAAGCCAGGATGAAATAAAATAGTGCACATCAAGTATTCATCACAGGGCCTAGCACATACTAAATGTTAGCAAAAAAGTATTTGTACACTTGCAATTAAGCTTTTAAAGAATCTTGTGGCCAATTATTTTATTCAGCAAATAATCCTTCTTTAATATGAAGAATCAATGTCTAATTTATATACAGTGTGGATTTTCATTTTTTAGTTTCTCTTAAGGTGGGATAGGCCTGAGTCCCACAGCCATCATTCTCAGGGATAGAGGCAATGAAACATGCTGCCACAGAGCTGGGTCTGAATCTAGGCTGTGCCAGTAGCTAGTTATGTGACAATGGGCAAGTCACTTAACCTCTCAGAGCCTCAGTTTTCTCTTCTGTGAAATGGGAATATATGTATGTATATATAAAACCCACTGCCATTGAGTTGATCGGACTCATAATAAGCCCCCCTTGGGTTTCTGAGGCGGTATCACTATGGAAGTATATTGCTCAACCTTCCTTCCGAGGAGTGGCTAGTGCATTTGAACCACCAGCCTTCTGGTTAGCAGTCAAGTACCTTAGACACTACGCCACCAGAACTCCTTTTGCACTGCCTAGGGACGTTGATTCTAGTACAGGCCAGTTAATAGAGGACAAAGCAAAAACCCCTTTCTGTTACCGCACCTGCACCACCAGATTTAGACAGCCATCTTGCTTGCATACACCTTTATTTCCAAGCGGGATCAGGGCCAAAAAGCAGCTCAGGGCGAACTCATCCCCAGTGCTAGGAAAACAGATGACAACGCATATGCCGCAGGTGCTAGATCAACGGCATCATCTTCATGGAGGGGTAGGGAATGACGGGGAGGTCGAGGATCCCACAATATCTTTCCTGTAACTGGGCAGCTTGGGTAAGAGTGAGGTAAGAATGAGGCCTACCTGCCTAGCATCCCACACGTCCCGTCCCCACGTCTACCTCCTTACCTTACTGTCCAGCTTCTTCATCGTCACTAAGTCCAGAGACTTCAGGGAATGACCGGTGGGGGCGATGAAGTACAAGCAAACATGGATGCGGGAGTCGTGGTAGGTGTGCAGCACTCTGCGGATCTTCAGCTCCTCCTGCAGGTAGGCCTCAAACTGGGCATCAATGAACTCCACAATGGGCTTGTAGCTAAAGGAGAGAGGAAGGAGATGGCCAGACCACTTAAAAAAATCTACTTTTTGACCCAGTCCTTTCTGGAAGTTGAAAATGCCTTGTGTAATCTGGCCCTCCCATTCCACTTGGTCTCCCCATTTCCCCTCAGTAGGCCTACAATACTGTCAGGCTGGCCATCACCTTGGTCCCCACATAAGCCATACTTATGACCATCTGTGCATCATCACTCTGGAATGTCCGTTTCTCTTTTCTCAGCCCCATCCTACCCTCTCAAACCTCAGGGCTCAGTTTAATGTCCACCTCCCCTATATAGCCTTCCCCAATTATTCTAGAAATCCCTTCTGTGACCCAGGAGCATTGAAAAATATGGTATAGACATTTTGATCAAAGATTCCATAGAAGAAACCCAACCAAAAGGGGGAAAATTGAGAACAGAACCTCAAATACTCATGGAATCCAGAATATCTGGAGCCATGGAGACTGGATGAACCTGTGAAACTACTGCCCTGAGATCATCTTTAAACCTTAACTCAAAAATATCCCTGAAGTCTTCTTAAAACCAAACAATAGGTTAGCTCAACAAGTAAAGAATGTTTGCCTTGAGCATCGTGCTCTTTTAAGGTCTATCTATGTGTGGTAGTTAAGTTTGTGTGTCAACTTGGCTGGGCCTGATTGAGTGGCATGGCAGCTGGATGTAGTATTCCCCATGATGAGACTGGTAATCAACTCCATGGGGGAATCTACTGTGAGCAGCTGAGTAGCTGCCTTAGGGATGAGGTCTGTTTCCTGTATATAAGCAGAAGCCTTGGGGAATGGTCTCTAGCTTATGGCACACTTGAACCCTGCATGTAGCTGTGTCATTGTTCAGCAGCCTGCCATGCTCTGGCAATCTTGGGACTTTCAATGGACTTGAATGAATGGCCTGCTGTGTGGTTTGGTAACATCAGGACTGTACCTTTTCACTTGTCGACCTTGGGCTTGTCTGCCTCAGCAGCCAGCAGCTGAGTGAAGAAAAGCCTCTAGCTTCAGTGGGCCAGGAGCAGGAGGCAGAGTTGAAGCCCAAGATTGAGGGGCTTTCATTTCAGCCTGGCACTTTGAGCTCAGACTTAAAGCCTCCAAACTGTAAGAGAATAAACTCCTGTTTCTTCAAGCCATTCCATTTGTGGTATATTCTTGTCAGAGCGGCACTAGGTAACTGAAACACTATGTGGGATCAAACTGACAACAACAACTCGAAAGGTTAGATAGGAATGTTAATGGAGGAGGAACAACTCAGAAAAGGAGGGTAAGAATGGTTGCACAACTCAAAGAATGTAATCAATGACACTGAATTGTACATGGAGAAACTGTCTAATTGGTGCATGTTTTGCTGCATATATTTGCAACAACAAAAATAAATTTTAAAAAAATTTAGATC